GTTTGTTAGAACAATACAATTTATAACTAGCTTTACATAATGTTATTGATTTGTTTGTTGGACTAATTTGGCTGGATTTCTCTCTGGCCTGTGACATACAGTCAATACCCACTATAGCTCACAATAGTGTATTATTAATCATACATGTAGTGTACTTGCCCCGTATTTATGATAATAATTAAAATTTTATATAAACATTGATTATTTCTAATTGATTGATATAAAGTACCTGTAAAATGGGTATTGAAGCATTTTGTTTGTGTAATTGTCAATGGCATTGCATATACATGTATCTTGTATTGGTACATATTAAATAATCAAATGATAAGGTTTTTACTCTAAAATAGCATACCCCGATAAAATTAAAAGCTTGTTGTATACTCAACTCACACAACTTAAAATTTCTAAGTTTTCTGTACACTTGTTGCACACTCCTGATGAAAAAAAAAGTTTTCTGCACACTTATAGCAAAGTACTGATGAAATTGTAAGTTTATTGCATGCTTTCTGCACACATCTGTTGAAAAACCAAGTGTCTTGCACATTTTCTGCACACTCATGACAGAAAAATTACATTTTCTGCACACTTGTTGCATACTCTTGATCAAATTTTAAGGTTATCGCACACTCTCCGCATGCTTCTTTTGAAATACCAAGTCTCTTGCATACTTTCTGCACACTATCTGCACTTATGGAAGTGTGCAGTAGGTGTGCAATGAGAAAGAATTTTTATCGCACACTTCTGCACACTCCCCAAAGCTGTCTACTGCACACTCTAGAGTGTGCCGCACATATGCAGTATATTTGCAGCACGTGTGCTGCACACTTTTCATTTTGCTAAGGGATATTGTTTCTTCAATTTATCAGACTACTCACCTTTAGTTCATTATATGGTATGACGCTGCAGTTTTTCTGTCTAATAAACTTCACTGTTGGGTAGAAAAGTCAAATAAAGAAGTTTGCTTTGGAGAGAAAGACCTTAGCTCGATTGAAATAATAGATTTTTGTCCAGGCACTAAAGCCTTTTCTGTACTTGCAAATATCTTTTAAGCAAATCTTCAGACCTGATTACACATACATTAGTATTGTAAGGATTCTGCCATTTATTTCCATCTTACTACTTCACAATATTTGCGTACAAACAAAGCAAGTTAACAGCATTTTAAAAAAAGGTGAAGAAGAAGGTGAAATAGAGAAGGGTTGAAGTCTCACCGTTTTCAGTCTGTGCCATTGCTTCTCTCAGCTTATTTGCCAGATCTTCATGCCCTGTTGTTTCTAAGACTTGTATAAAATTTAGTAGAGCTTGGCGGCCCCTACTTTTTAATAGGCGCAGCATGTGGAAAACTTGTTCCCCTTTAGTGGGAAATGCCTTAAAGAAAAAAAGATTTCTTTAAAGTAAAAGGTTTATTTATGGAAAATTGAATATAACCTTTGGGGTTTTTTTCTAGAAAAAAACATCGCACTATTTACAAAACATTGTACTTGAAAAATTTTAACTTACTCGTAAGATTTTGGACACTAATACTTTTGTCTGTACAGACCAAAAAAACTCAAGGTTGAGTGTAAATTTTTTCAGAAATTGAAAGATCAAATGAATGGGAATGATCAGCTTATCTTTATTTATAGAGTGAAGATGATATTTGCCAAAAAAAAAAAAGAAAAAAAGAAAAAAAAAGAAAAAGAAAAGAAAAAAATTTAAAAAATCATTCAACTTTTTGAGTGTTTTACCTGAATTTGTTCCACCATTTCCTCTGTGAACACTTCCTTTTCTAACAACCCTGCGTAGAACTCTGGCATTGGAATGATGCCTTGTTGTAGAAGTGTCAAGTTTTTTGTAATTATTTTCTGATGTCTCTTCTCCATGTTTGTTATATCTTCAAACTTTTTCACAGAATATTCTCAGCTTAGATACTGGAGTAGTTGCTTTTTCTTTTGATTTCTGCAATGTTCAAAAAGTTTATAACTCTATTTCAAGCACACCAAACATGGGTAATCATCCAAGTTTTAATGATATCCTAGTGAAGTGAAAATGTTGATTTTTTCACGTGTTTTGCATCTTATGTCATATCTCCAGTCACTAAGGGAATAGCTCCAATATCTTTGTCCCAGAATGATACTTTAAACTAATGACAAATATCTGTACGATTAAGATGTATAGTTGCACGTAGAGAAGCAGCTCTTCGTGAAGTCCTCCTCTGCAGTGGTGTTAATTACATTTCTGCAGTAACAGAAGATGACTTAAACCAAAAAGTTTGTAAATATCCCCAGTATTTTGTAAATTATTGAGTTTGAGCATTTAAGAATGCACGTTCAAGATTTTCCAACAGCCCACATTTATAAATAAAATCTGTATGAATTAACGATTTTGCTTTTTGAAAAGCTATTCTGTATTTTATTCTGTAATTGGATATTTTTGTATATCTCTTGGAATAAATTAGTTCTTCCTCCCGGATATCATTTTCGGAGTTTAAAAATGGGTCCATTTTTGAAGGGTTCTGATTTTTGCTACAGAAAATCCATTCAAATTTCACGATCTTCTCATATAAATACTTCAATTTAAATTTATTTTAAACGAATAAAATGACAAAGTTGAAAGACACTTATGAAATGGTAACAGTTGGAATTTGCTTCTCCGAAAAAATTAGGTCTGTATATTCCAATCTATTTGAAAAGGTCTTATTAAAATGTTTGAAATATATTGATCCCTTCATAAAATTTTGTGACCATACAGTCCCCAATGTGCAGACAAAAAGGTTATATTTATATTAAATTGTAGAAAAGCAAATTTTGAGACCAAAAATTTAATGATTATTTCTGCATGTACAGGTTTATATGCCCTTAAAACTTTGCTAACACACATTTTTCAAAAATTGTGATCTTTCATAAAGCTTAT